TGTCAAAGAAACAAGTACGACACCAAGGCACCTGCAGGCTTGCTACAACCCTTACCAATTCCAGATCGAGTTTGGGAGGAAATTAGCTTGGACTTTATTTCGGGCCTTCCCTGTTCGGGCAATCTTGATTGTATCCTGGTGGTGGTTGATAGATATTCAAAATATGGTCATTTTCTAGGATTGAGACACCCTTACACCGCCCGATATGTGGCAGATTTGTTCTGTCGAGAGGTGGTGCGATTGCACGGTATCCCAACATCAATTGTATCAGATAGAGATCCAGTGTTCCTAAGTTCGTTTCGTTCTGGCAGGAGTTATCTAAGTTGGCAGGCACTAAGTTGAGAATGAGTTCGGCATATCATCCTGAGACGGACGGACAAACAGAGGTACTAAATCGTTGCCTTGAGACATATTTGCGTTGTTTTAGTTCCGAAAGGCCACGAGAGTGGAGTAAGTGGTTGGCTTGGGCAGAGTACTGCTACAATACCAGTTTTCAATCAAGTGTGGGCGGTACTCCATTCGAGGTAGTTTATGGTCGTGCACCTCCTAGGCTACATCGTTTTATACCTGGAGAAGTGAGGACACAATCGTTAGTAGAGGATCTTCGGGACAGGGATGAGGTCTTGCGCCATTTGCGGTTCCACCTGGAACGTGCTCAACAAAGCATGATTCGGGAAGCGAATAAACATCGTAGAGACGTGGAGTTTGCAGTAGGGGATAAAGTGTTTGTCAAATTTCGTCCTTTTCGACAGCGAACACTTTTCCGCAGCATGAAAACTAAGTTAGCACCTCGATTTTTTGGGCCATTTGAGGTAGAGGCTCGTATTGGAGCAGTTGCTTATCGATTGAAATTGCCTGGTACCGCAAGGGTGCATCCAGTCTTTCCTTTCATGTTTCGCTGTTAAAAGCTTCAAAGGGACTGAATTCCGTTGAGCCTACATTCCCTGATGAATTATTGGGAGATGACCCATTATTTATTCCGGAGAAAGTGCTGGCGCGACGAGAGATTGAGCGCAATGGGGAAATGGTTCCACAGGTTCTAATAAAATGGGTGGATCACGGGGATGATGAGGTAGTTTGGCTGGACACTGAGGAAGTACGTGGCCAATTTCCTAATTTCAGCCTTGAGGACAAGCCGTCCGGGCAGGAGTTGATAAAGAGCAATTTATGAAAGTTTATTCTAGAAGGCTGAAACGGGCTGCGGCTGCTCCTACTGGACCCTAGGGCGTAAGCCCAATTGTCCTTATTATTTAGTTAATGTAATTAGTTAAGTTAGCGGGCTCTTAAATGGGCTTTAGGGTTTAATTATTGAATATTAGGGTTTAGTATATATATTGGTGGGTAAGAGTTAGATGAGCATTATGGAATATTGACGTTTGTGGCAGGCAATCTTGCCTGAGGACCCTTCGGGGTAGTACGTTCATTATCTATTGTTAATATTGCCCTTCACTCTATCAAGTCAAGAGTATGTATTTGGTATGTTTAAGAGTAGAGCAAACTGCCAACTCAAGAGAACCTTCTCTGTCTGTTTTTATATGATTATTTGTATGGTGAGTATGAGTCCAGCAAGGAGTTTTGGCCCATATAATGTCGAGCCACTACAGGGGAATATGGATCTACCTATAGACCAGATCCCATCTCGCCATGGCGGCGCCATTTAAAACTAGGGATTTTACAGAACATACCACATAGCACAGCAAGAAGTATACCAACAAGTAGAAAATACAGAAAAACCGAACCAGTTGCATCATATATTATTCATGGTTCGAATAATTATTTATAGAGATAGTTAAAATACTATAATGAAGGAGTAGTATTGTGCTTAACACGATTATTATGACTTCTTAACAAAACCACCAACCCAAGTATAACAAAACTTATGCTATCACAAGGAAGTGAACGACAGATACAGCCTGTGGGTATGGTTATAAAAAACTTAACCTAACTGTGCAATGTAAATCAAGAATAGACTAGACGAGGTCCAATCATGCTTATGTTCCTATTTCACACAAGCTAACATATAGCAGCTCCCAAACCTTCTCCCCGATAAAGAATATGCATTATTACTAAATGAGAGGTGCATAAGTATCTTTGTAAAAGAAAAGTTCAACAAAATAATCAACCTGGTGATTACCAGCTCGCACCAATTTGACCCGGTCACCCCTGCAAAATTATCATTCAGCCCATAAAGAATATCGAAAATGCAGCTGAAAATTAATAAACAGGGGAACCCAACAACAGCCTCACGAGGAACTCACCCATTTTCGACAAAGGAAATTATGGCTTGCAAAGTTGCAGAGAACCCAGCTAGCTTGTGCTCATCCCCATATCTACAGTTCAATAGCACAACTGCACATGAGATATCATTCGTATATTGCTACATGAATAAAATACAGCACACTAATATTATTATATTTGAGCTCGCAAACAAACCTCGAATAAATGGGTTTTCCTGAGTTACTCAAGATAAAGAAGTGTTTCTTCCTTTTCCTCCAAGAAACTGAAGCATCATCCTACAACTCAGTCATTAATTTAACAGCACATACGGGAAGGTATTACAGACCCAAGCCTATCTAAATATAAAGCAACTTTAGGTCAGTTAATAAATATCATTATCTCCTTACCAAAAAAAACAGAAGCTTAGATATTATTCCAAGCCACAATAAGAATACCAATAACTAATGCAGCTTCGTTGCCAATGATGATTCCAAAGCTAAAATACCCATCTCTAAGAATGAAACAAGTAAAATACAAGGAACCATTTGTCCAGCTAACCTCATGAGGATGGCGTTTCCCAGAAACCCACTGTGCATGGGACCCCAAATCCCCACCACTTTGCACCTCGAGAATCTCATTACTATCTTCGTCATCATCATTGATTTCACAACCCCCACTGGTGCTGCCTCTCTCGCCCGCATAGCCGCTGCTGCTCGGACTCAAAGGCCGCTCGAGTTCTTCAGCCTCCGAAACATTCCTCCAGACAGAGTACGAAGGGCTCTCGTCATTCTCCCCTGAAGCCTCTGCCTTCCAATTACTTTCTGTAAGTTCATCTTTAGCTGAACCTTCCGTACTGATATCTTCATTCAACGGTCCATTTCCCACTCTATGTTGCAGCTCCAATCGTGCTTCTTTTACCTCTTCCTCCACTGCGTCCTCATCGTCAAGCGTCGCCGTCGGGGAACGAGAGGACATCGAGATTGAGGCTAATTGGCTTTCAAGCGCGTCGAGAGATCGATCAATGGAACCCGTATTTGGGTTTGAAACCGGGCTCGGATCGGAATTAGGGTTTCGATCATCCCCATCGGAGGAGAAACTGGATAATGAGAAATTCGGATCCGAGGGCATTGTTAATAAGATGTACAGCCCGAAACAAGGTAAAATTGGAGTTCAGGTTGTGAAGAAACCATAGATTAATCAAACAAAATATCCTCTTCGCGTCCCACGCTACGCTAACACCATTTGATCTTACTGGTGGCACGCATCAACCAGTCGGGGGATGGCGGTGAAAGACAAAGCACAAGACACGTTGTATGTTTGAATAATCGTTGGTGTGCTTATTACTTACAGCCCGATAAGGTGAAAGGTGAAAGGTAGGTGTAACAAATGGCCTTCAAGTATTGAGGGCCTTTTGTGGCAGGCCATGCTACA